TATTAATAAGGATTGTTGGAGGGGGGTCAAAAATTCCTGCAGAAATGCGGAGAACTGAATTTAAGGTGAGGGGGGGATGAGGAACTGAGAGAACCCCACAATGACAGATTTGTCTGTCTCTAGGCAGAGTAAAATACAGAATGCATGCGATTTGGCTTGAAAAGATTGAAACATTGTGGGAGTGCATGAGAATGCACAGCCCTAGTTAGCAGAAAGTCATTGGGGTGGAGATTTCGTTGCTGAGCTCCGTTGTCAGAGCTCCTGCACAACCTAGTTTGTTTCCTTTCCAAGCCTGGGTAGACTGAGCTTTGTAATACAAGGGTACCATGTAGGATGCAGCACCAGCTAGTGGGAACTCTAAGGTCCCATCTGAACTTTACATTTAAAGCAGCATCATATTTCCCATCAAAGAGCTACAATTACCAAAGTTCCCTGGGATGAAGGGTTGGGTGTTAAACCACTCTGTAGTAACTCCCCTTGATCTACTTCTAAGTCTGCAGCAGCTCAAGCTGGCTGTTGCTTTTCCCCACCATTGATAAAGGATGGGAGAATATTGTCAGTTTCGTTTTCTCTCGGTTTCCCATTTTTCCAACCAAGTTCAGCTTTCCACATTTCCACGTCAGTTTGAAAACTTTAAAAATATTTTCAAAGTTCTTGTGCTGATTCAACCACCTTTTAGTGCAAATTTCTCCTGACATACATTTTTCTATGCAATTTTGTCTGATATACACATTTTTCAAAGCAATTTCCCCAAATATAATGCATTTGTGTATGTGATTTTCACCCCCACCCCCACACACATATTTAAATGTACACTTTATGCTAGTATACACATTTTTGTACAAATTACTTGGCTGCAGAATTTTGATTGCAAAATTCAGAGAAGTAGAAATTTGGAAGGATGGCTGTGGTTTGATCATAGCTGTCAACTTTTCCCTTTTCTTGTGAGAAATCCTATTCAGAATAAGGGAATTTCCTTTTTAAAACTGGAAACATGGACAGCTATGGGTTTGATCAATGTATAGCTTAGGAAAAGGCAAGTTTCTCTTTAAATGCGGAATGAATGTAATGTTGCACGCCACCGCAATCTAAATGCAGGAGTTCCAGGTGTTCACCCAGGATCTGTGTTTCCTTTTAGAAATGAGGCACAGCAGAGACTGTGGTGTCTTCATAGTTTCTTCACATAACCTGAGTCTACGATGTACAACCTGAGTCTACGATGGAGGGGTTCACTGCATTAAGCCCCCAAAAGAAAGGGTTTTGTTTCTTCAACATCTGAAGCCTTGGATTCAATCAGAAATCAACCACCATGCTCTGGCCCTCTCTCTAGCTTGCTGCCTTTACCAGCCTGCAACTTTTAAAAGATTACATCACAGCCAACTCTCTACTCCAAACTCGGGCTTTTTGTTCTTCCAACTAACTCTGAGTTAAGGGCCCCACCCATTTGCCATCTGGCCCAGAGCCTTTGTCTTCTTAATGGCCCATTACCTTTCCTTTGTCCTCTTAATGGCACATCTCCCAGGCAATTATCTCATCAAGAAACTAGCCTGGCTTATTTAGCTTTAAACATTTGATGGGATTAAGTGTTTGGCACTCACAAACTCATAACAGTCCTCCCTCCTCCCTCTACCATTGATTAAGCCATGCGATGAATAGCTTCACCAGTCTACTTTCTGCACACCAGTTTGCTGTTACAGGAGTGAGTGGAAATAATGGAAGGAAAGTGGCTCCAGCTATGGTTGGCCCCACCTGCCATGAGTTCTGGCTCCACCTATTCCCTGCCCTCCACCCCACCAGGCCTAATCAGGAACAGCCGCCACGGCTGAAATAAGTAAATAAATGTTCCCTTTTTGTTTTGGCAGTGGCCCATGGATCCTGATCAGATGTGACACTGATCTAACCACAACTGCAGCTAGTTGCACATAAAAGCCACAAGCAGCTGATTAGATGTGACACTCCAAAGCATCTTTGATTACTTAGCCACAAGTAGAGGAGGTTGAAAGATTTCAGTCTCATTTGCATGATGCAGTGCTCAAAAAAAGACCGATCAGGGTTTTCTTGTCAAAACAATGCAATTAGCATATGGTAGAAAAGTCAATGTTTTCTTTTTAGGATCTTAAGCTTTTCCATTTGCCTTTTTTAAATTTAAAAAACAACTACACCCTGATCTACTTCATGTATCCTCCACCCTCCAATCTATTGTGCCCCTTCTCTCCCCATATCTTACTTCCATTTAAAATGTCATATTGGGAAAGAAACTATGACCCAGTAGATCGCATCTGAAAAGCAAATCTTCACCGCAAACCTTTCATTCAAGGACTTAATCAAAATGTTAAAAACTTCGACTTTGGCTGTTGTCTCTCTGGCAATTAATTTTAAAATGTGTGAACCAATGATTTTATTGTAGTTAAACAAAGGGCATTGTCTTCATGGCAAAAAACAAACCCTTGCACTAAAAATCCAGGGGTTGGATTTTGATTACCCATTGATGAAACTCTGACCATAGGAGGTTCCACTGAACATATTTTGCCAAACTGGTCCCACCACCTTTGACTTTTGGCCATGCTGCCAGGGTTGAGGGGAATTGTTGTCCAATACAGTTGGAGAAAAACAGGGCAAAGGTTGCACTAGAGGAAGGGCAGGGGGCAATTTTCACCGACTCTCCCTTCTTCGTACAGCCTCCTGTGCCCTGGGAAGTCAGGGGGTCCTCCATAAAGCTGCTCCAAAAATGTTGTGATGTGTGATGATGCAGAGGGAAATTGTGAAAATCACATCCCACCATCTTCCAGTGGAAGCCTGCTGTTCATACAAGGGCACATTTTGATTTATCCCTATGAACATAGGAAGTGCCCTACTGGATCCGACCAAAGCTCCATATACTCCAACATCCTGCTCCTCATTGTGGCCAACCAATTGCTTCTGAGGAACTCATAAGCAGGATTTAAAATTTATATTCCCTCCTGTACTGTTGTCTCTTAGCAACTAATATTCAGAGGGACACAGCATATGTAATTGTGATGTAGCCATCAAGGCTAAAATCTATATCCAGGCCTATTTTTCATGAAGTTATGTGATCCCATTTTCCAAGCCATCTCAGTCGCTTTGCATTGCCTAGTTCCATAAGTTCTGGAATACCCTTCCATTGGCGATCTGTTACCCTTCTTCTTTTCTATCTTTTACACAAAAACCCAACACTTATTTTTTTTCTTCAAAGGTGGTTATATAATGGTCTTAAATTTTATTTTTTAAAACCTGATTGCTTCCTTTGGATTCTATTTTACATCTTTTTTCTTTGCAATTGACAGGAATTTTCACCTTTGATTGCATTTTTTATACATAAGCTTCTCTCTGCACTAGGGGTGGATGAATCTGTCAATATGGGCTTCTCTCCATCACTTGTTTTCTCCAGTCCTATATTCAGATTTCCACATTGGCAAAGCAATATGCATTTTTTAATTAAAAAAATCCTCGTGAAAATTCATCACAGTTTTAGTGTGAATTTCTCTTAGTGAACACATTTTTGTTTGCGGTTTTGACTCGTGTACACATTTTTGCAAGCAATTGTCCTTAACAGAATGCATTTCTATACCACGCTATCACTAATATATGCATTTTATGTATACTTTCCCCACTATATGCCCCATCTAGCTCAGCATTGTCCACACAGACTGGTAGCAGCTCTCCAGGGTTTACAGGCAAGGAACATTCCAGTCCCTGCCTTTGGGGATCGAACCTGTGACCTTCTGCAGTTGCCCTACCACTAAGCTATGACCCTCCCTCCTTAAATAAGCCATAAGATAACATCTCCTCTTTAGCCTACTATTTTGCTGAACAATCTAAGTTTGGGTTGTTGCGTTAAAAGAGCTACAATGGGATCGCTCCCGATGGAGTCGAGAGAATTAACAATTTCTCTACTTCTTTATTTCCTAAACATAAAGAGACGCTGCTGCTTTTTCTATGCTTCCCACAACAGGGGGGGGGGGGCAACAAAGTGAAAGAAAGCAGCCTTTCTTTCATTTTCTTTTCCTTTTAAAAATGAAGGCTAAATTTAATAGGTGTCAGGAAGAAACCTTTCCGTCCGGCACTTTTTATGCCTCTTCTGTTCAATACGTGGTCAAAGATTAAACTAAGCAGATTCTGTATTGAGCAGAAAGATCACAAAGAAATATGCCCATTGTATCCATGTACACACAGAGAGATGCTCTTACTTCCAGCTCTGCTTAGAATCTGTAAGATGTCTGCTTAGAAGGCAGCTCAGCCGCACTCCTTTGTACAAGCAATTCGGGGACCTGCTGAAGGCAAGGGGGAAGATATCTGGCCGCCATCATTCTATCTAAACAATGCAGCTTTGAAAGAATGAAATTACTTAGCATATTTCAAGCCTCGTGGTAATAGGGAAAGAGGCATGTCAATGCACACTGGGGGCATTGTTGACACTGATTTTCAAGTTTTAATACTTTATGGACTGATAGCATAGGTTTCAGAAATTATTTCAGGGGTTAAATAAAATAAGCATACAGAGTGGAATCGTGTTTGCATGCTAAAAAGAGCACACGGCTGTAGCAATTCACAGGTCCATCTATTTCGGAAGCAGGGTTTCTCCAAATGCAAGTTAGTGGAGAAAAGTAGTGTGTTGGCTTCTGGAAATATCTGCTAAACCAGGCATGGCCAAAGTTGGCGCTCCAGATGTTTTGGGACTACAACTCCCATCATCCCTAGCTAACAGGACCAGCGGTCAGGGATGATGGGAACTGTAGTCCCAAAACATCTGGAGGGCCAACTTTGGCCATGCCTGTGCTAGACCAACACTGGTTTCGAGCTAAGTACAGGATGACAGGAAGCTGACTTGGACACTTCTGAATTCCTTGCCTGAAGCTTTTGAGTTTTTATAGTTCATCTAGAACAGTATTGTTCATTGGTCCATCTAGTACAGTATTGTCCATACTGACTGGAAGCATCTCTCCAGGGTTTTGCAGGCAGGTATCTCTCCCAGCTCTACCTGGAGATGCCGGGGATTGAACCTGGAACCTTCTGCATGCAAAGCAGGTGCTCTGCCACTGAGCTACGGCCTTACAGCTTCTAACTACTAAAAGCCATGAATTCAGTGTAGCGGGTTCAAGTCTGAGGAATTTCCTCCCAAATGAGATCAGATAGGCACCCTCCTTGCTGAACTTCAAGCACATGACATTCGTGTTCCAGCAGGCATTTTAAGGTAACATTCGGTTTTATGATACAGTGGTACCTCGGGTTACATACACTTCAGGTTACAGACTCCGCTAACCCAGAAATAGTGCTTCAGGTTAAGAACTTTGCTTCAGGATGAGAACAGAAATTGTGCTCTGGCAGCGGGAGGCCCCATTAGCTAAAGTGGTGCTTCAGGTTAAGAACAGTTTCAGGTTAAGAACGGACCTCCGGAACAAATTAAGTACTTAACCTGGGGTACCACTGTAGTTTGTTTATTGTCCTATTTTCTGTGGGTTGCTTTTTCTATACACCTCTTAGAAATGCAAATAATTAAGAGGTATGTACAAGTATTTTAATAAATAAAAGTGAAAATTAGGTAGGTTTGCATTATAAGGAGCAAATTATCATGGCCCAGACCTTTTAAAGAGCTAGCATTCTTAGAAACAAATCTGACACATGTCAGGCTGGAGGTGTCAAGGTATGATTAGGACAGGGAACCCGATTAACTTTTTAAAAATGCTTTTATTTAACTACAGCACCTACCAGAGCCCATGACCTTTGGGAAGGGAATCGTATTAATTAACTCGCAGTCCTTACAAGTCAGAGTTCAAATTGTGTTTGAATGTTCATTGCTTTGAATCTTCGCAACTAAGGTCGGTATTTGGAAATGATGGGTTTTGAGCTCCTTCACTGCAGATATTCACACTAGATTCATGCTGACAAGGAAATGCAAAGTCCCTACTAATGATGCAGAAGGGTCAAAGGTCGGCTGAGAACATATAAGAAAGACAAGCTGTAGTGACTTTCACCACTTTAGCTGATGAAGAAAGTGTCTGACACTTGCCCTCACCGTAGTCCTCAGAAATATTAAAGTTCTTACAATGCAGCATTTTTGCAGCAATTAGCTTCTTGGGTATTCTGGTCAGGCAGGCACCACCACTACCAAGACAAATTGAAAGATATTGAGATGAAATTCTTCATTAAGAAGCCCCCTTCTTCCTCCTCCTCCTCTAGTGATCATCTCTGTTATGGTATGGCAGACCATAATAAGTGATTTATAATAGCCTGCCTTTAAATGCCTCTTGGAAGATGCGTGGAGACTGGTATTAAGTTATACAGTTTGGGCAAACTTGACTTCACACTTGGAATTGTTACTTTAAAGAAATCTAACTTAAGTAGAGATGGGAAAATATGCTGTAGGAGGCATTTATTTTATGTGTATGCCTATGCGTATGTGTTGATAGCTAGCTAGATGTAACATGTACACATCCATGCATAACATCATATTATATTTTGCATGCACTGGAAACAGAAACAACAAAATTAAATTATGATTAATTAATGAATATTAACTCTCTCTGTCTCTCTAAGTGCACATTTTGCAAATATCTAACTTCATTACAGTTTTTTGAAATGTCACTAGCTGCCCTCGGGTTGGTAATTTAAAAGCATTAAAATGTAAAGGCACCTACCAGCTATATTTAGTCAAGATTAATCTTCTCAAGGGCAATAGGCTCATGATTATTATGCCATAAAGTATACAGTGGTTTATAGAATATGCCAAAGAGACAGGTCTCTGCCCACCAAGCCTTACAATCTAGGTATTATTTAATTTTTAACATACAAAGCTGCTCTGTACAGCACCTGACCAGGGTTTCCTTGCCTACCAGAGGCTCTGAAGGATCTTCACAACTAGGCCTAAGTCTCTTTAGCTGGAGATATGAGGGACTGAACCCTCTGCTTTCAAAGTATATTGTTGTGAGTTGGGGGGGGGGGATTCAATTCCTGGAATAGCCAGACTGACTTCCTGGTGAGATAATGGCGCTCTAAGTTTGGGTCATTACGGCAACAAAGGAAGTGGCTCTGTGCATATAGCAAATTGGTGGGTGTTGCTCCCTCAAGTCGCTAGAGGTTAGAAAGACAGAGGGCAGGGTTGGGAGCTGTGTGTATGAGCTAAAAGTGACAAGTGACAGGCTGCACGCTGGACAGCTGGGAGAGACGGAGCCATGCCTCCTCTCAGTCTCCTCTTACCAGGCTAATCATACCCAATTCCTTCAACTGTGCCTCATAATGCTTGGTTTCCAGACCCTTCATCATCTCAGTTGTCCCCCTTTGTACACGTTCCATCTTGTCAATATCCTACTTAAATTGTGGCACCCAAAACTGAACATGGTAGTCCAAGTGTGGTATGACCAAGGCAGAATGGAGCAGCACTATTATTGGAATACTAGACTTCTGTTGATACAGCCTACAATAGCATTAGCTATTATTGGCTATTAATAGCATTAGCCATTAGTGTCACCTCTAAATTTGATGAGCATCCTCTCAATACCTTCATCTAAGTCATTTATGACAGGGACACAGGTGGCACAGTGTATAAAACACTGAGCAGCTTGAGCTTGCTGATCAAAGGTTGACAGTTCGAATCTGCGCAATGGGGTGAGTTCCCATTGCTCTGTCCCAGCTTCTGGCAACCTAGCAGTTTGAAAGCATACCAGCGCAAGTAGATAAATAGGTACCACTGTGGCGGGAAGGTAAACGGTGCTCTGATGCTCGTCATGGTCCTCCATGCGCCAGTAGTGGTTTAGTCATGCTGGCCATATGACCTGGAAAGCTGTCTGTGGACAAACACCAGCTTCCTTGGCCTGAAGTGAGATGAGTGCTACACTCCATGGTCGCCTTTGACTGGACTTAACTGTCCAGGGGTCCTTTACCCTTTTGCCTCTTTAAAAGTCATTTATAAAGTTGTTGAACAACAATGGGCTCAGGACCAATGGGCTCTGCAGCACTCCTCTTGTCACTTTTTTCCATGGTGACAAGGAACCATTAGAGAGCACTCTTTGGGTTTGGCCAGTCAACCAGCTACAAATCCACTTTGTCCAGTCCACGATTTACCAGCTTCTCTGCAAGGATATAATAGGGAACGTTATTAAAAGCCTCACTGAAATCAAGATACATAACACTCACAGCATTCCCCTGATCCACCAAGCTTGTATCTCTATCAAAAAAAGAAATGGGATTTGTCTGGCATCACTTGTTTTTGAGAAACTTCATCAGGCAAGATGTTCCACTAAACAGAATAGGTGGGTAGATGAGGAAAAGTCAAAAATAACAAAGCTAGACTGATGTTAATGCAAAAGGTCAGTTTGAAGACTTGGATTTACCTTAATCTACTCAAGATTGTGAGTGCTCAGTTCTTTTCCATCCCAAAGGAGAATAGTAGCAATTAACAAGTAAAATTAACTCTCTGAATTATCCAGGCCTAGCACAAATTCTAGGAAACCTTGCAGAGAAACAGGACTTCTCATGTGCTGTTCTTTAGATACAAGTTCTGCCCTCCATCTCCAGGTTCAATTCCTAGCTTTGGCTAGTTCTCCCATTTTCAACCCTTGAGTGTATGTGTCCTTGGCTCGGGGGGTTCCACACCAGGCTGAGTTCATGCCTGGAATGGTCACTGTTGGCCCCTCTCTCAGCCTCAGCAATAACATTCATGCAAAAATGATGTGAGAAACTTACCCCATTTGAGATGAGAATATAACCTGTAAGCATTACCGTCATTTATGCCTGAAAGCTCTTGACCTATCATGTTCATTTATTTAAACAAGTTAGGAAAGGTACTCCAGAAGATGGCTTGAGTCAATAACATTATGAAATATTTGCAAACCCAACATGAACTCTGCAGCTTACACGAGTGCTCTCATATTTTTTTTCCAGCAAATCTTAGCGGTGGGAAATAAACAGACTTGAGATCTGATGTCAACTTGAAAGCATGAAACCAGAGTAAACGTAAATGCTTTGATACTTATTAATTATAGATGCCCCTAGGAAATGGTGCCCTATTTTAGACAACAACAAGGTCATTGGTCATCTAGATTAGTCACTTCTATGATGCCCATTTCGTTTGTCTATCTTTGACCAATTAACTATTATGTTGACTCTTGTACACATAAACAAGGAGCTTGGGCAAAAATTGAAAAAAAGGTAAATGGAGCTGTAAAAAGGTTCAGAAAAGAGCAAACAAAATTAGCATGGGGCCAAAGCAACTCCCCTCAAAAATATTACAGTTGGGGCTTTTTTATTCTTTTTTTTGGGGGGGGGGAATTAAGAGTGGAAATGCTTTCATATACTCTCTGGTTTCTGCCCACTAATTCATTACTGAATAAAGACTAATTGGGCTTTTGGTGTGAGCCTCCGCATTGAACCCTTAAGGAGAATTTCTCCCCACAAGTTTTACTTAGCCTCTGGATCTGAGGTTATCTGTCTTTGAGCTTAACAGTTTGTAGTGTTTCCAGATACTGGAAACAGGTTTGGATTCCCTTCAGATAGAAAGGAAGCTTCCTAGGTGGCCTAGCGCAAGGCCCTGTTTCTGATGTAGCTTTGGTCTGCAGAACAACAAATCTACTGCCTTGAACTGGATTTCTCAGTTCTTTCCTGCTCGTTCCACAAAAGTGAGGGGGAAAGCAGCTCTTGGTAGTTTGAAAAGTAGCATTACCGTGCCAGAAACGTGCTGTGCACACTGCACAGATGGGAACTGCAAGTGTTCCAGTGACTGAGCATTGCACATTCTTTCCAGTTCCTTGATTTGGATTCGGAGCTGGAATACAATTAGAGGCAGAAAAGCAAAGCTTCTCAGAATGCAGTTTGAAATGCAGTGATTGAGGGTGAAACCAAGAAGTGAAACCCCAAGGCATGTCAAATCTTTATTGCTTGTATTTGCAAGTGAACAGCAGAAGGGGATGCAAAGTGATGCAGAAACCCAAAGGTAGGTTGTTTGTCATTCAAACCTTTCTCCAGGAGAAATCAAGTCACCATGGAACTACTGCACATGCAACTACTGGTTACCTCTGGACAACAGGGAAACTCCAGCAGCAACAAAGGGCCCTTT